ATTCTAGCATCCAATTTGTCCTTGATGAAATGTTGATCAATCTCCACATGTTTTGTTCAATCACATTGCACTGGATTATGAGCAATCTCAATAGCAACCTTGTTATCACAATAGAGTTTCATAGCACCCTTGGGTTTAAATCCAAGATCTTTCAACAATTTTTTCAACCACAACAACTCACATACCCCATGAAACATACCACTGAACTCAGCTTCAGCACTTGACCTAGCCACCACTTTTAGTTTCTTGCTTCTCCAAGTAACTAGATTACCATCCACAAACGTAACGTATTTAGATGTAGATTGCTGGTCAGTGACAGAACCTGCCTAATTTGCATCTATATACCATTTAACATTCAAATGACCATTTTTGGAGAAAACCAACCCTCTTCCAGAAGCCATCTTTAAGTACCTTAAAATAAGGATTGCTGCATCCATATGAGCTTCACTGGGCAAGTGCGTAAACTGACTTGCCACATTAACTGCATAAGCAATATCAAGGCAAGTATAAGACAAATAAATTAATCTCCTTACAAGCCTCTGATGCCATTCCTTATGAGTAGGAACTTGATCTGGAAATAAGCCCAGACGATGATTCTGCTTAATCGAAGTATTAACAAGTTTGCAATCTAACATACTTGTTTTAGTTAACAAATCAAGAACATACTTCCGTTGAGACAGAAAAATACCATGTTTGGATCGTGCAACCTCAATTCCCAGAAAATACTTCAATTCACCCAATTCTTTCATCTTAAATTCAGTAGCTAGATACTTTTGAAGGCGTTGTATCTTCTTCTAATCATCATCAGTCACTATCATGTCATCAACATAAATAATCAATGCAGTTAGCTTACCATTTTGTCGCTTTAGAAACAAGGTATGATTTGAATGACTCTAGAAATACCCAAACTTCTTCATTGAACTTGTAAACCTCTTAAACCACGCTTTAGGAGATTGTATCAAACCATACAAAGTTTTTCGCAATCTGCACACAACACCTTTTTCAGGAGATATTCCGATATTAGGTGGGAGATCTATATAAACTACCTCTTTGATATCACCATGAAGGAAAACATTCTTAACATCAAACTACAATAGGGGCCAATCATGATTTGTTACTAAGGACAGAATAACACACACAATATTAAGTTTGGTAACAGGAGCAAAAGTCTCCTAATAGTCCACCCTATAGGTTTGAGTATAACCCTTAGCAACTAATTTGGCTTTGTACTGGTCAATAGAACCATCTGTTTTATGCTTAATAGTGAACACCCATCTACATCCAACAACTTTCTTCCCCTTTAGCAAAGCAACCAAATCCCAAGTGGAATTCTTTTCCAAAGTATCCATCTCAACATTCATGGCATTAGACAACGCATCCTGCAATTTTGTTATAGCTGAAACACTAGATAGTTGGCATATGTAAGATGCATATGGTTTGGACAAACAATGAGTAGACACATAATTGTTGATAGAATACTTGGCTTTGGCATGCATATCAGGCTCATATTGTACTTTAGGTTTTCCACGATTAGCTCGTAGAGGCAACTGATAAGTAGAAGAATCATAAGAATTTATCTCATGTATGTCACCATCTTGTACTAAACCGTTAGAAGAATCATCATTGGATGAACCATCGTTAGGCAACTCGTTAGACATACCAATAACAGGCAACTCGTTGGGCATATCCGACCAGTCTTCAATAGAAATAGTCTCGGGAATGACAGTTGACCGGTCACTATCTATAGCCAACTCATCAGTATCATGTAGCACAACAGGTTTTGTCCCCTAACTCTGCATGTAACACATCATCCATGCATCTCTTCGAATTTGGACTTCACCACCGTTTCCCTCTGAGGTGAGGAGTCGGAAGAGGGCTTCACAAAATACAAAACTTTCTCGTGGAAGGTGAGATCCATAGTAATATAAGTTTTCTGAGTCGGATAACACTTATAGCCTTTCTAATTGTTAGCATACCCAATAAATACACATCGGAGAGTATATGCATCAAGTTTACTCCGCTGATGAGAGTAGACATGCGCATACGCTATACACCCAAACACTTTCGGAGGAAGTTTGGATACAGAAACAGGACAAACATGTTTTTGTAGCACATCAAGCGATGCCTGAAAATCAAAAACCTTACTTGGAACATGATTTATCAAATACACAGTAGCCAAAACTGCATGTCCCCACAAATGATTACGAACACATTTATCCAACATCAATGAGCGAGCAACCTCCATTATTTAACGATTCTTCCATTCGGACACACCATTTTGCTGGGGTGTAAACGGAGTAGTCGTCTGGTGAATAATACTCTGATCATGAAAAAAACATGCCAAAGTGTGATATACATATTCTCCTCCGTTATCAGAACTGAAAATCTTAACTTTGGTCTGAAACTGAGTAAACACCATTACACAAAATTCTTGAAGAAGCAAAGAGACATCACTCTTATTCTTCATCAAGAACACCTAAGTTAATCGAGTACAACCCTCAATAAAAGTAACAAACCAATGAAATCCATTAGAAGTAACATTCGCCAGACCCCACACATCAAAATGTATCAAATCAAATGGCAAAGTAGCTTTAGAATCACTTATGGGAAAGGAACCATGATGACTTTTCGCCATGACGCATGTTTCACACTTGAACTCTGAATCACTACAAGTGCGAAACAAAGAAGGAAATAGATGCTTCATATAACTGAATGATGGACGTCCTAAATGTCGATGCCACAACCAAATTTGATGTCTATCATCCACTTTAGCACTTAGAACTTGATGATTATTTGAACCTGAAACAACAGTATCCTCCATAATCAAGATGTACAAATCCCTAATTCTTTTACCACGACCAATTATCTTCTGAGTTTGAATGTCTTGAAAATAACAATACATGGGGTAGAAGTGAGCGGAACAATATAAGGTTTCAAGTAGTTTTCCTACTGACAAACGATTGCACTTAACATCAGGAAGAAATAAAGCATGGACCAGTGATAAGGTCATAGTAAGAAAGATAGTGCCTTCACCCTTCACAGGGGAAGGTGCTCCATTTGCACTAGTAATATACGGATCACGAATATAGTCACATAACTCATCAAACACTGTAGGATCACCGGTCACATGATCAGTGGCCCCAATATCAATTATCCATATATTTGTTCCACCAAGATGCGTAACAACACTATGATTATATTGGACCATTTAGCTAAACCACGAACAATAAGGGCACAAAAGATACATAGAGGAATTAAAACAATTTACCAGAACACTGCAACAGATCACTGTTCACAGGGCACTGAAGTAGATTACTATTCATGGCATTGTAGCGTGTCACTGTTCAATATATATATATTTGAATGAAGAAAATCACGACAAAAGTGGTACAAAATTAAAGTACACAGGTCACCAAGAGCGAACTACTCTGATGCCAAGTTAAATTAAACATGGTAAATACCAAAAATATATATGACAATATTTCGGAATTTTTTGTATATTCATTAGTCTCCAAAGTGGAGTATATATAAGAGTTACAATTGGTATTATATATGTGATTCGTCAATGTGGAAGGACAGACTACTATTTACACTTTCACTAACATACAACTCGCAAGAAAAAGAACCAAAAGGAGAAAAAGAAGAGAGAGAGGAAAAGGAAGGCGAGGCTTGCTGCCGATCCATGGAGCTAAAGCCATGGGTAGGCGGCTAGGTGCAAGTTTCTCTTAGTAAAAATGAAGTCTCTTATGAGTACGCAGGGATGATCATCATCACAAACTAAAACTTTTTCTTCAAGTGTTATTTAATAATTTGGCATGCGCTTCATTCGTGTCCGAGGCTTTCCATCATTTCTATTGTTAATAGGAAAAACATGTTTTGTTTGTTAAGAAGATCAAGAATAATCGATCACACAAATTACCATGAACCCGTTTTTTTTTTTTTTTTTTTTTTTTATGTGAATATTTTTAAGACATTGAAGTCGAACTTTGCACCTCTTTCAACATTGTGGATGAGAAATTCCAGCAAAGAATAGCTAGTGAACAGTGAAGCTATCAGCTTCGACTTTCAAATGTAAATATTCTTCCCTCTGGTAGATGTGACTATTGACTAAGCCTGCCACGCGCTCGTTCCTTGCTGAACAAGCTTCTGCAAATCCGAAGTGTGAGTTATGGGCATTCAAGAACTGGCTTTGGACACCCAACTTCAAATACATTTCTTTTAGTTGTGACCATAGTAAACTTTTGGGTGTCCAAAGAGTATCCTTATTATCTTAGGCCCTTCCTATCAAATCACCAATTTTTATCATTCTTTTGTACCAAGTTGCAAATAATGGTGTATTAGCTTTGTGGCTTTTTGGGCTTTTGGGCCCTAGTCCTCCAAACAACAAGAATTGGTAACAAAAACCAATTGGATGATCTATTTTCTTCCTCTTTTTTGTATAGAAAATACTAGGAAGATTATATTAACAATACTGGGAGGTTTTCGTTAAAGTTCCATAAAATGTAATCTATTTAGAATTGCTATATATTACATAAATTATCATTTTCTAAAATAAAAAATAAAAAATTCCTACGACAATTACAAATTGTATGTATCAGTTTATCTACGTACAAATAAATAACATTTCTTGCAAAAAAAAAAGTTTGATATTTGTGCATGAAGTTTTTTTTCGTGATTTTAATGAGTTATGTTTCCTATATTAACATATGACTATAAAGGATAACTTACAACTCTATTTATTATTGTTAAATGAGTTTAAATTTCGAGGTCAATATAGTAGATAGACACAAATCTTTCAATCTTTTTACAAATAAATTATAAAGATGGAAAAGGGCAAGTGGGCATGCCAATTTGCCAAGTTGATGCTAAGATCCAAATCCAATCCAAAACAAATAACCCCTTGTCTCCACCAATCATTTGTCCCCAATTTAGGGTAATGAACTGATGTCCCATGTTTATTTGCACAAAATTGCCCTTCATATTCATGTTAATTTGCTCCTCTACCATATTGTTGTAGCAGCACATCATTCCAAGTTACGTATCATACACAAGGGCTATTTGGTCATTACATTTGGCCTTTCACTCCAAAGCTTTCTTCTTCCTCAAAGCTCTCACAACCGAAAAAGCTCAACTCAAAAAAATCAGAGCCTCCAATGGAGGGCTTCATCTGCGCGTTTTTAACCCTTCGCAATTAAGGTTCTATTTTTCACTGAACCACTGCAGATCCATTTCTGCGGTTGATAAAATTAAAGGTGAGTTTTATTTATTTATTCTTTCAGAAGTACGAATTTGAAAAGCAAAAATGAAATTTTTATTTGAGCGCAATAAAAAAAAAAAAAAAGATTGGAACTTTGAATATTTTGCTCCAAATAATTGAAAGGGAATTGGATAAACTTAATGGGTTTTTATTATTTAGTAATATATATATACCTGTGGTCTGTGAGAATTCAATAATTATTCTTTTTTAGTGGAAATATATTGGGTTTAGTTCTTAATTCTTTTTATTGGAAATATATTTGTGTTTAGCTCTTAATCTGTGTTTAGTTCTTTGCTGTCATTACCACAATTAGGGGTTTGTTAATTTGATATATTGAATGGTTAATGTTAAGTAAATCCTGAGTTGTTTGGTTAATTGAGGTTCTTTGTAGCTGCAGTAATCTTGTTTCTTATCGTTGGGTTTGATTTAATTTCCAGTAATTATTATCTGTTAAGTATCTAATTAGGAATTATTTGTTAAATATGTTGGATGCTGAAAAATTAAGTAGATTGTGGTCAATTGGTGACATAGATGATTGCATACAAATGTATACAATATGCAAGTTTATGTACATTATGTTGATTTTGTTTAGATTATGTGAACTGAATATCTAAGAAAATCTCAATCTTCAGTTAAAAACGACTCCGAAAATTTGCACTTTCGATTGCTTGAAGCATGAGCATTGTTCGCTCACATGGACAAAGCTTTACAGACCAAGCCCTGCAGATTTGGTGATCGGAAAAACAGTGATGTTGTTATATGCTTGAAGAATAGAGAAGGTACACCGAAACGGTTCTATTCCCACTCCTTGGTTCTGATAAATAGGAGCAAGTACTTCGCCAACCGGCTATCTCACCCGAGCTCTAGTGATTGCATTAATATACATTGCTCAGAGGTTAACTATGATCACCATGTCAACCTGTTGAAGCTGCTTTATCTTCCAGCAGACTCAATTTTGGACTTGTTCGACTCTGTTAAATCTGCACTTGGTATTCTTCAGGTAGCAGTTGCCTTCCAGTGTGAAGAGATTGTGCGCAGCTGCATCCAGTACTTGGAAGCTGTTCCTTGGGAGGACAAAGAAGAGGAACTTATTCTAAAAGCAGTTTCAAAATTGGGTCCAATAGCAATGCCGATATTAGCCAGGATCCAACCTGTTGATTTAGCTGCCACCAAAAACGTTTTTGTATCAGCAGTTCGCGTTGCCACATCCATTTGCGGACCATGTCCTCCATTCGGTAACGAGCTTAAAACTTCTGCGCAAGAACAAGTTGAATTCATGCTAGGAGAAGATGAGGATGCACCGTTGGTCACAGCTGATGATGAAGTAAAATCAGTGTTGAGAATGGGTCTATTGCAGATTTATTCGACGTTTGAAAAGGAGTTGTCTGCCCTACTTTTGGAGCCCGACTTTGTATCTGATAGGGCAGAGGAGAATATATTGCATAGTTTATCTGATCTCGAGTGGATGTGTAACATACTCGGGAAGATGGATTTGATGAAGGATTTCGTATCCAACTGGGCTGAAAGCTCGAGCAACGTTTTAGGAGTAGTCGAGGATAAAAAACTTGATTCTTTTATGTGGGGTTTGAAAATTAAGCTAATAGAAGTAACTGCTAAAGTCTTGGAAGCAGTTGGCTATGGCAATGTGATTCTTCCAACTCCAATCCGCGTCTCGTTACTAAAGACATGGCTGCCTTATATAAGGAAGATGAAGCCCCTCTTGGATTCAAAGGGTAGCGAGGGAACAGGTTTTCCATACAAGATGAGCGAAGACTTGTGCCAGAGCATTGAAGGGGCCATGGTGACATTAGTGCTGGCATTGCCTTCGAATGATCAAGCGGACATTCTGGCGGACTGGATGGGAGCCGAGCAGGTCAGGTATCCAGACTTGAGCGAGGCGTTTGAGGTGTGGTGTTTTAGAACGAAGTCTGCAAAGAGAAGATTAGTGGAGGGATTGGATGGGGCTGGCAATGCAACTGTGAGCCTCTGAATTTTGTTTTTGCTTTGGCCTCCTTATGTGTTGTAAGATTAATATTCTGTTGAAATAGGAAGAAAGTTAATTGGTCGTTGATGTTATATTCTTGCATTTTGACATTATTAAGCTCCTTTGAAGAATTGAGCTTTATATCAATATAGTTTCCAAATTCCAACCGTTACAATTTATTCTCCCCCACAAGAACACAAGTAAATGTTATGATCCCATTTTTCAAAATTCCAAAAAAATTAATGAAATATCTATTATTTTCTAAAATAATAAAGCATGTATTAAAATATAATTGGACAAAATTAAAAGGTAAGTACACGCGAGTATTATCCATAAATCTAATTCGAATTTTGTTACGTAGAGTGGTGTGGAGGCTAACCATCACAAACATCCAATTGTTTTCTTTTATCTCTAATATTAGAAATACTTTTAATCTCCAAAGAAAAAAAATTAAAAAGCAATTCCTCAAAGCATATTTGAAAACACACTTGGGGTTTATAATTTTTATTTATTTATTTTTTGACAGGAAACGATAGAGTGATATTTTATTGAACTTCACAAACAATTACAAGGGTTGCCAATCGGGTACATAAGCCCTAGTGATCAATAAATTGATCTAGAGTAAATTTGCACAAGTAAACAAACAACAATAAACCCCGGCCACCACAAGCACTGCCCTATCCTACGAGATGTCTCCAGTACGAATTTAACACTGACAAACACATAGGTCATTGCACAAGTGCGATGCCACATATAATCATTGCAAGCGAGACCACAATAAGTCATCATTGAAAGACACAAAAAAAAACAAAAGAAATGATATTTTGGAAACACACTTTTCTTCAATAATCAGAATTCTTTTGTTGTTGGAAACATAGTTTTTGGGGGGGGGGGAGAGGATGCATAACACATTTATTTGGGTAGTGCTATCTAGACACTTATTTGGGTAGTAACAGAATTGATTTTTTAATGTAAAAATGTGGTTTTTCGTTAAAGTGAATAGTACTGGAAGCTTTTCGTTAAAGTTTCCTAAATTAAAATCAATTGGTAAGTAACCATGATTTTTTTAAGGGAGTTTTAATGAAAAGTCTGCGGTACTGTTCACCTTAACAAAAAATCATATTTTTATACTAAAAAATCAATCATGGTATTATTTGCTTTACATTTTATTTTGTGCTTATCATTAAAACTTAAAGTTTTCAAATCTTTTCATTAGTTTTTTAGTTTTTTATTTTTTAATACAAAGTCCGACTGAGATGAAATATAGTTAGGTAGAGCTCTTAGCACCGACTCCATCACCCACCGTTAAATATATTCATCATCAATCATACTCCTTCGCTCCAATTCCATTTTTCTAATTTCCTAAGTAAATTATTTAATCAACCACGAGCTTAAAAAATGAATTATGAGACTTTTTTTCAAATTAAAAATTAGATATCTCGGTTCAAAATCTGTTATGGGTTTGGAAGTCAGACTTGTGGTCAGGAGAGGCTGAAATGTCTTTATGAGTCATTCCTTCTTAGTAAAATCAGATTATACTCTTCGACGATAAAAGGTGGATAACCATGACTTGCCCGTATTATTCCCCATTTTTAAAGAAAAGGAAATAAAATATTAAATCCAACAAAAAAAAAAAAAAAAAAAAACACGCCAAGTCGGCAGCCCCAAAAATCCCACGAATCTCAAACTGACTGCAACGCAACTTCCCCAAATCCACCAAAATATCGTCTCATTTTCTTTTCGTTTTCGACGTCGGTGATGATGAGCAGGCTGTTCCTTATTAACACTCCCATCATCGTCGTCGTCGTTAATCTTAATCTTCATCTCGTAGTCTCTTCCGGTCAATTAATTCGTTTCTTAATCCAAAAAAAATCAGCAAAAAAAAGTCCAGAAAAAAAGAGGATCGGAAAATGTACGTAACGGCGGTGCGACCGACGGATCTGAATCGGAACACGGAGTGGTTCACGTACCCCGGAGTCTGGACGACCTACATTCTGATGGTGTTCTTCTCGTGGCTCACCGTCCTCTGCCTCTTCTCTTGCTCTCCCGGCATGGCCTGGACCGTCGTCCACCTGTCCCACTTCCTCGTATTCTCTCTCCCCAATCTTGTTTCCTTATTTATTTGTTTTTAGGTTAAGCTTAATCTTCTTATTTTTTTTCCTGTTCGATTTGGTTTGATATGGTGGCGGATTAGGTTAATTACTTTGCTTGTGATTGTGAATCTGAGTTGATGAATCGTTTAGGGTTGTTGTGATTGATGAAGAACGCATTAGCATGAATGAATCCTACTTGAATGTGATCTTATGTTATATTGAATCGAATTGTAGAAATTTCTAAACACTAGACAGGATGTAGAAATTTCTAATCGATTAGCTGAAATTTCGAGAATCCCGAAATTTTTATCTTCAGTTCATATAGGTCTATGTTGTTTGTGTAATCATTTTAATTTGCACGGAGGCGGAAGGAGAAGAAACTACTCTCTTGTTCAGTTCTGTAGTAGAGATGGGGTAGAAAGTAGAATCGATGAACAAGTCTCTGTTCAATTATAAGCTCTCAAAAAATTCAGAATCGGTACGCAGTGTGGAGGGAGAGTGAAAGAGATATTGTATTGAATTAGTTCATAGACGGTGATGCATTTTGGCATGTGTCTGTTGCTGTGATTTAACTCCAGGAAATAAGATTGAGTTTTAAGGGATCGGTATGTGGATGCTGAAGCGCAGATTTTGCTAAGCATTGGGTACAGTGGAATGAACAACTTTTATCTGAGGAATATAGTCAGAGGGTTTCCACGTTATGTTATTGTAATTTGGAATAGTAAACTTCATACTGATAAATGAAAGATTCATTCGGTTCTCACTACCCAATTAATTGAGTTGATTTGAAGCCTCTTCGAATTTGTTGCTGCTGATTTTATGTTATAAGTATCTGTTATGCGTCTTATTGGGAAAAGTAAAACGTTTTCTGATTGTCTTCAGGTTACTTATCACTTTTTTCACTGGAAGAAAGGAACACCATTTGCAGATGACCAGGGTATCTACAACGCACTGACATGGTGGGAGCAAATAGACAATGGCAACCAGCTCACTCGAAACAGAAAGTTTCTAACTGTCGTGCCTGTTGTGTTGTAAGTACTTCAAGTTTTTCTTTATAAGCCTTCCAGATTGCTTTCTGGATAAATTATAGAATTTTGCCAATAGATCTCACTCCTCGCACATAAACACCCTTTACTACCAAGTGAAAATGAGTAAACTAGACTAGAACAAGAAGTGCTCACTTAAGGGACTTAAATTGAGTGACAAGGGAAGGACAATGTATTTAGGGCTGCATTCACTTCAATGTATTATTGATTACAACAGTCGTTTCCAGACCAACAATTAAATACAGTGTCCCTCAATTTAAGTCTCGTAGGTGAGTGCTTCTGTATATAGTCATCCATTAAGTTTGATTCAACATTGCTGTTATACAGAAGTTGCATTTTTCTGGTTAGACTTAATTTGATCTTATAGAAATGCTTTTGTTAGAGCAGAAAGATGCTGATGCGATATGCAACTTTCTTCCTCACATGTGCTGTTACTGTATCGAATAATCCTACCTCGGTTAGACATCTGTTTCACTTATGCATCCATCATCTTTTATTTGGCAGGTACTTAATAGCCTCTCACACGACAGACTATCAAAATCCAATGCTCATCTTTAACACACTAGCAGTTTTTGTGTTGGTAGTTGCAAAGTTCCCAAACATGCACAAGGTTCGTATATTCGGAATCAATGCTGATCACTGATATCTCTAAAAGATCAAGCATGACTATAGTTCTCTTGCTCTAATCATTTTGGCATTCGGACATAACGGTAAAGTCCCTGTTGAAATATTGAAACTGGAAACAGTGTATTATTTTTTTGAATGAAGTGAATTCTCTTACCCCTCCACTGCTCTCTGTTACATTCATTCATACCATACGGATATAAAAGTGCTATCATTGCTGAGTTTCAGATTTCAGTGCACTTATTTATTTCTGGATAGAGAAGTTTCCGTCTTATTACCCCGTATTTATACTCTCCCAAAACCCTTGGGTGTATTTTTACTAATTATGGCCGGTTCCGGTCCCCGGTGACGAATAATACTGTAGAAACATAATTAAAGATGGACCCTAGACCTGTCTCCATCTTGGTTCAATTTTCTTTCATCGTCTGTAAGGTGCTATTGGGTTGGATGGACTCAATTTGTTTGGGCGATTGGGATTATTGAGATGAAATTTTAGGACGCTTGTTTTTTTTTTTTCTTACATTTCAAAAGAGAATTTGAAATTGGGATCTCGTAAAGTAGCCATCAGATGTGTGACAACATCAATAGTTCAATTATTGAGATGAAATTTCAGGACCCTTGTTTTTTTTTTTCCTTACATTTCAAAAGAGAATTTGAAATTGGGATCTCGTAAAGTAGCCATCAGATGTGTGACAACATCAATAGTTCAAATTTAACTCATAGAATCCCTCAATTTTGCCCTTTAACTCCTCAAGCTAAAACGTTCTTTCTATTCTACCTCGTGATGTTGGAGACCTTGACTTTTAGACAAAGAATCTCTGTATAATGTTTTGCCGATAGAGCGATGCTACTAGGACATAGGGGGAACGGTTTCACTGGCACTTGATACTTGATGGTTTGAACCACAAGTACAAGGCCATAGGGAAAAAGTCTTACACAAGGCTTTCTATTAGTGACGCGGGATGCCACTGTGATGGTAAACTTGTTATATGAAAGTCTTCCTCAGGTATTTTCATCAAATGATATTTGTAGTCTTCCGTTTCTCTGAGTATGGATTCCCTCTGGCAAAGAAAACTTGATAGGGAGCGTTTCGTTAGGGAAAGTCCCACACACAGTGTGATCGATGTGGGGGATTAGATGAGACCAAAATACATGAGGTCACATGCTTTTGTGGGAGTAATTTTAACTAATCACATAATTATGCTGTCATACCCATGCTTTACCCCCTCTTTTATTAAATTATAATTTATAACACGATGTGTTCTAATTAAGTTCTAACATGTCATTTGGTGAGCAGATTTGATGAACGTAATTTTTTTGTGTCCAATAATAACGGTGCTCATTTGATCATGCATACGTCTTTATCCTATGAGTTAGGTTAAGGGAATTATAGGTTTGAAAGAATGTAAAGAGAGCAGGCAGATGTTTCACGCCTTGCCAAAAACAAAGGTTGCTTCTGTGGTTTTAACTCAAGAAAGGTAAGAGATAAAATTGGAACATGTTTTGTTTATTGAGAAAACCTAAACACAAAAACACAACACACAAGAATCCACCAACAACATTTGATCAATCAAATCCACTTTCCACCCTTTTTTCTAATTTATTTTTATTTTTATTTTAATTGATATTTTTATGTAAATAGTTGGGATGGCCAATAGATTTTTCATTTGTTGGTGATTAACTTTAGGAAGATGGGTTTGTCACTTTCATTGTCAACTTGGACCAAAGTGATCTCTATCTAATCACCAGATTTTCTCTGCTGCACATATGAACGGCCGGGATTTAAATTCGGATGCTTAGGAGAGCAAATCTGCTCTAATGACAATGGGCATGTTGGGATTCCCAAAAAAGCCCTTGGAGAAACCTAAGTTGGATTAACGTGTTATAAAATAAACCGTGATAATTTAGCCGGAAAATGACCTCAACCATGTTAAGGGAGGGGTGGTATGGTATATTCAGTGTTTAAAATATCCAGGAAATAGTCAGTTTCATTGAAATATTTGAAACAAAAAATAAAAAAAAATAAAATAAAAAATCAAGGATCGATATGGAATGATATTTACTAATTCACTACAGAAAATTTGCCATAATTCATTGTAGATTTTGAACTTAGAATTTTTGTTTTAGAAATTCTTTTCTAATTCGATTAAATCTGAATGAGTTGATATGCCTAATCCATGGCAAGAAACAACAACTATGACCGCAAACGTCAACTCACTTCTTATATATGCGTCACCAATACGATCTTGTTTTTCCAATATCGATATCTATATTTCCATAAATTTACATGTCAATATTCTTACATATATAGATATTTTAAATAATGAATACTAAATACATCTTACATTTGCTAGTTATTATACATCTTTATATACTTTTTTTTCTTTTCATTTCTATTTATTTATAATCTTTAGAACGTAGAAATTAAAAAACAAAACAACAAAAGAGTAAAATAGTGTGTGGGTTTCATTTCTTTTATGTGTATACACACCACAAGTGGCTTACAGCAAGAGAGAATGTAATTTAAAAATTAAAAATTTGAGAGTCCAGATCTAGATAGATCAACTTAGTGGGGTGTATTATTCTTTCTTTAGCACACTTGCCAAGGGGAATGTTTGTGGGTCCCAACAAAGACAAAAAAAAGTAGGGTTTGTCAGATCTTTCTCTCAAATCCTTCACTTGAGGGAAAAAACAAAAGAAAAGAAGGGGGTGTGGCATGGAAGCAATGATATCATTCCAGGAAATGGGACATTGTGAGGGAGTCTTCTGAACTGTTTGGATATGTGTATTTCGTCAGTAGGTGAGCTTTTGGTTGAAGTAGCAGTTTTAGGGGTTCTAATTAAAACATGGAGAGAAGTAGAAGCTGCTTTTTTGAAAAGTTGTTTATTACCAAGTCGCGTGGAAGGCATCAGAGTTCTTACCTGGGTCTTCCGCTAGCAAACTTTGTTCTCATATTCTTCATGGAGATCTTTGTGTAATGGCTGGAAGAATCTCTGTTTTTGAATAAAACCTTAAACTAAAATCCTGCTAAAACAACAATATTTACATACATACATACATATATATATATATATTTATTTATTTATATTTATATTTATATTGCATCCACTTCAGAACCTTACAACTTAAGTTGCAAATTCTACATATTATTTATCATACCAAGCCAACCAATTAGTGGCACATTACAGTGGAGAGGGCTGCCCATTGATTTTCTTGTAGTGATAGAACTAGAAGAAATTACATGAAATATTAAAAAGGGCATCTGGTTATACAGTGCATGCCATATGCCTCTTTTTTTTTCTACCCTAAAAAAATCTGGGCTGGTCTTGATTGATACCATAGCTTCTATCTTCCTTGGCCTTTTTTCTCAAGAACACTACTTGGCTTCTTACATATAAAGAACAATGGTGGACTCCTTACATATAAGAAGTCATTCTGAAGCCAAATCTAAAATAAGCTTCAAAAACCCAGCAACATCCACTTCAAAAAAGTAAAGGAAATTCCAAGAAAAAAAGAGAAGGAAAATAGATGATAATTAAAGAAAACCCATGTATCCTATCTGTTAGTTAACTTATGAAGAAATCCAAACATTAAGTCACCCACCACCAAAGATTAATAAAGAGTTTAAAACCACAACTAAGAAAAACCCATTATGCAAATCTCTTCTTGTAATTACTAATTACCATGATCCTCCTCCTAGCATTCCAGTCCAATACCCAGCTGAATCTCCATGCTCCTTGTTGTGCTCATTAATCGCACCTCCTGAAGGAGCTTGTTTCAAATCTTCAAATGGAAACAAAAGCCTCCCACTGCTCTCTTGTACATGATGACCTTGAAGACTCCCATACCCACTTCCAAGCCCGTCAAGTGAAAAATTAAGAGTTGGCTTGAAATCCTGCATGGGATTAATTAGTCCAGAGGGACTATTATATATAGTGTTGCTGTTGTTGTTGGGGTCTGATGAGACTGGCATAGGCATGAAGGAGTTCAAACCCCTAGAAGTCAACCCAGTGAGAAGCTCCAAGGCTGAAAGGTGGGATGTTGTTGTAGTTGTAGAAGTAGAAGTTGGGGAAGAAGAAGAAATGTGGTTTTGCTGCCTGTTGGTGTTTTCGTTATTGATGTTGTTGTTTGGAAATTGTTGATGATGGTGATTAAGCAAGTGATCAGAGATAATATTCCTGAAATCTTGATTAGTGGATGGGAAAGTGAGGTTCAGATCTTGGGCTTGATTAATTTTAGGGTTTTGGTGAATCAGATCAGGAAGCCTTTTGGATGCTGAGGAAGAAGAAGAATTGTTAGAAGTTGTTGATGGAGAATTGTTTAAGGATGAAGATCTCTTGTTCTTCCTCGAACCACCTCCAACTGGGATGTTTCTGAGGGACCCACCTTCAGTCCAGTACCTTCTGCAAGTCTTGCAGAAGTACCTTGGTTGTGTGAGGCTGTAGTTGTTGTAGTAGCAGAATTTGGTGTTGGTGGAGTTGCACCTTGGACAGTTTAGGGCTTGTTCCTTCTGAGGCCTTGCCTTCCTCTCTAAATTATTAGCTGCTGCAGGCTTAGGGCATGAGTTTGTCACTATCTCTTCTATTGGGTTCACCACAATTCCCTAAAAAAGCCAATAGCAAAAGGAAGAAGATAAATTTCAGATCAAACAAAAGAAATAATATTTGATCAGTAGTAATACTGTGAAATTAGAGAAATGGCAGAAAGACAAGCAAAACAAAACAACTGAGGAGCTGCTTTTTTAATTTACACTTTCTGAAAATTGTATTAGCCAACAACAAAAGAGAGAAACAAAAACAACAGAAGAAAATTGGACTCTTTTTTCCTTTATCACCTAAACAAAAGGTAAAGTGAAAGATCATGTTGAAGAACTGATAAAAACTAAATCCAAAAACTGAGTGGGGACTTGCACTGAATACCATATCATATCAGTATCCTTACAGAAAGAAAAGAGGAACCAAAAGGCCATTAAATTTATATATATATATATATATGTCTAAATTATTCATAGAATTAAAAAGAGGAAGCGGAAAAAAGGTTTGATATGAAAAATGAAAAATGAAGAAAATCTGTCTACCTGTGGCCACTGAGCAGTATCCATGGCTGAAAACTTGAGTGCACAAAGAGGGAGAGCTATAGGAAGAAGAAAACTGTTTTCCTCAAA